TACATACATACATACATACATACATACATACATACATACATACATACATACATACATACATACATACATACATACATACATACATACATACATACATACATACATACATACATACATACATACATACATACATACATACATACATACATACATACATACATACATACATACATACATACATACATACATACATACATACATAACATACATACATACATACATACATACATACATACATACATACATACATACATACATACATACATACATACATACATACATACATACATACATACATACATACATACATACATACATACATACATACATACATACATACATACATACATACATACATACATACATACATACATACATACATACATACATACATACATACATACATACATACATACATACATACATACATACATACATACATACATACATACATACATACATACATACATACATACATACATACATACATACATACATACATACATACATACATACATACATACATACATACATACATACATACATACATACATACATACATACATACATACATACATACATACATACATACATACATACATACATACATACATACATACATACATACATACATACATACATACATACATACATACATACATACATACATACATACATACATACATACATACATACATACATACATACATACATACATACATACATACATACATACATACATACATACATACATACATACATACATACATACATACATACATACATACATACATACATACATACATACATACATACATACATACATACATACATACATACATACATACATACATACATACATACATACATACATACATACATACATACATACATACATACATACATACATACATACATACATACATACATACATACATACATACATACATACATACATACATACATACATACATACATACATACATACATACATACATACATACATACATACATACATACATACATACATACATACATACATACATACATACATACATACATACATACATACATACATACATACATACATACATACATACATACATACATACATACATACATACATACATACATACATACATACATACATACATACATACATACATACATACATACATACATACATACATACATACATACATACATACATACATACATACATACATACATACATACATACATACATACATACATACATACATACATACATACATACATACATACATACATACATACATACATACATACATACATACATACATACATACATACATACATACATACATACATACATACATACATACATACATACATACATACATACATACATACATACATACATACATACATACATACATACATACATACATACATACATACATACATACATACATACATACATACATACATACATACATACATACATACATACATACATACATACATACATACATACATACATACATACATACATACGTAATACAGGCATACACACATACAAACATACAGTCATGCATGGAGACACACACATGCACACACGGACACTCCCACAGAGACACACACACTCACTTAGACAAAAATACAGACATATAGGCAGACACTTACATATAAACACACACAGGGAAACACACAGCACACATATTTACATTCGTGCTCACACACTGACACACATACGCAGACAAACATGCAAACACATACATACAGCCACATAGACACACACGCAGTCAAACACAAACACACACACAAATACAGACAAACAGGCAGACAAACACATACTGACACCCACACAGACAAACACGCAGAAATGCGTACATATACCAACACATAGAAATACACACGCAGACACATATATTCAGCACGCACAGACATATACTCTGACATGCAGACACATACAGACAACAAAGGGACACACACAATACACACAGCGAAACACACATAGACACGCACTGACAGACAGACACATGCTGACACATACACTCACGCAGACAGACATACATACACCCACACACAGAGATACGTACATACAGCCTCATAGACACACCCGCAGACAAAACACATAAACATACACAGGCAAACATGCAGACAAACACATACGGGGACACACACAGACACTCACGTAGATATACACACAGTCACATCAAATATGTTGAAAAACACCGAGACACACACACATGCAGACAAACACAGAGACACACACACAGACATATATACACAGCTACATGTATCCATATCATACACACCTTGTTTAATAATAAATTGTTAAAGCAATATGGGTTACATTACATTCAGGGTGGCATATAATCGCTTGTAAGTATGAATTGAAAAACTTTATGGTTAAATGAATAGGGACTTTTAGAATCTTTCAGGTCTAGTGGAAGATGGTTCCACAAATGAGCAGCGGAGTACGCTACACTTGTTTTAAATGAATCTATTCTAGGTTTAGGCAAATGTAATAAATTTAGTCGCTTGCTATTTATAGGATTTGATTTAATTAATCGGAAAAGGTAGTTTGGAGTATTTAAAGATAAAATTTTATGAATAAATTTGGCCTTGTTAAAAATTAAACGTTTGCTAAATGGCAATAGTCTTAGATCGTTATAGAGATTATTTTTCACGATATGTTCACTATCTGAAACCAGGCGTAAAGCACGGTTTTGAAGAGAACTTAGTCTTTTAACGTTGGATTTGGCGCAACCATCCCAAACTGTGAAACAATAGTCGATATGTGTTTGGATGTAAGACGCGTAAAATACTTTTCTTGCATCTTCGTCTAGAAAGTGCTGAATTTTGGCAAGCTGATAAACTTTTTGTGCTATTTTCTTAGTTATGACAGAAACATGAGAATTCCAGGTTAAATGGTTGTCAATTGTAAGGCCTAAAGTTTTGTGTTCGTTACATTAACAATAGGTAATTTATCAATGAAGAGCTCGAGTTTTACTACGTAAAAATGTGAACAAAATACCGACCATTTCAGCACGCTTAAACATCATGAGGTTGTTGATGTAGAGGGGGAAGGTCCACCAGTATTTCTCACAGGCCGCTTCATCGTAAGGTTGAGCTGTGGCGGCCGTGGGGCCAGACACGAAAAATCTCTGCAGCCCCAAAATCAAGACAAAGGCCACCATGTAGGTCGGGGTTAGTCTGTCAATGAAACAATACGAATCATCGTAATACCTGTATTACAGTTTCGAGCGCTGCCCCGCCTATTTACACTACGCAACTTTTCATTCATACTTGATCAGCCGAGTCAAATTTTGTGAACGGTTATACAAACGTTGGTATCCCCAAATAGTAGGTCAAATTCATTGATTAGTTTGTTGGACTAGTCTACCGTGGTCAAGGTTATGGGTGTGGCGGTCTGTTGCTGTTTTGCAATTACGTTTTTATTCCGAGAAAGAGACTGTCTGTGACATAGTTTTCATCGCTCTCTAGAGGGGTTGTGTGTTAGACCCAGCCTTTAAATGTTTTTTGGACGGTCAACAGCTCTGGCATGGTGAAATATACAACACGCAATATCAGCGCCAGTGCGGAATACCCGCGTGACCTTGTGTGAAAGTCGGATGGCTCGAGCCGACCAATCAGCAGTGAGGTAAGCTGAAGGCCAACCAATCAGAAGCGAGCTAGTGCGTACCGGTGTGTAGTATGAGGGAAATATAAATAAAATTTACGCTGGTCTTTCCACTAGCTCGCTTTAGATTGGACGACCTACGATCCTATATGAGTAAGAGCAACATCAGATGGTTCTTGGAACAGCGTCTGCTTGACGGCAGAATACCATGTTCCTGCAGGAAACGAACGCTCCTCTTTTGTCGACCGTGAGCACTGGTAACTCCAGTAGATTCATATCGTAGTTTAATCCCCAAACGAAACAAAATACGCAGTCAGGCGACAATAGCGAGTACAATAACTTCCCGCACTCCAACATATACGCAAGAGAGGCAGCTGCCACCCTTGGTACTTAAACTTCGCCACCTGACAGCTAAAGGCCTAATTTATTCGTCATCCCCTTGTGAGATGCAATGTTTTGTTATTTTGAAGCCCTACTCTGGCTCTTGCCAGGGGCCGCAATATAGCCCGACCACAAATACGGCCTGATGGCTAGACACAGTTTCCGGGACCTCTCCACGGGTGATCCTCATCCACATGGTGGCACTTTGTGTCATCGGGAATTTATCGCTTGTGTGATGTCCTAGGGGGTAAAATTGTACTAATACTACTACAGCTAAAAGCAGAGACTGACGGTCCAATCAAAGTGTCCTGTCCTGATTTCATCATTCATAACTGTGTAAATGGGAGGAGCCAGGGTCCAAAAGTGTGATAAAAACCTACAATTTTATTATCAGGTAAGAGACCCTTTCTTTTAAACTGCAATGTCTGTATCATTATATTTAATTAGAACAATCAAGGCAACAATTCACAGATTTTGGCTCTGGTCCCCGCCCATATACACAGTTATGAATGACGGAGGCGGGACAGGACACTGTGATTGGACGGTAGGTCTCCGCCTTAAGCTGTCAGAAAGTCACATCTCAGGCAGAGGTGTGAGTTTTCTCTCCTGTGTATATGTTGGAGTGGGTACAGGTACACAGTGGCTTTTCTGAGCGACTTGGTTTACAGTATTGGTGTTTGTTGGTGGGTACACGAAAGCCGTCTTGGATTTTGGTTTTGGAACAGAGTTTACTGCCACTGCTAAATGTTTAGTGTAAAACCACGGCACGTAGAATGTACTTTGTCGTGTGACCTAGGCTCAGTTCGTCGAAACTGGGGTTTGGGTTAGGCCTAATTTTAGACTTTATGGGGTCGTTAAAATCGCTAAGTTGCTGTAGTATAGAGGTCCCGTCACAGGAGACTGAGTTCTGGAAGTCCTAAGGTCGTAAATGTGTGTCATAAAATGATGTCCATCGGACACAGTCAGGGCGACACCCCTCTAACATTTGCAGAAGTCAACTCGGCTGATCAAGTGTTAATGAAAAGTTGCGTATTGTGTAAATGGGCTGGGCAGGGCCCGAAATTGTGAAAGAACCCAATCAAGATTCCATTGCTGATACAGTGAATACCCCACATGCTGCTTCTATATAACATAATTTGCTTCAATTCAAGGAAATGAGAATGTACTGTGGAGGGCGAACGAGCAATGTATCAGACTAACATTGTGAATGCTCTAGTCAAAAAGCTATAATTCATTTTCTTTGAACTAAAAGATGTCGTTCTACAAAGTACACAGACATTATACAGTAAAAACGCGTGTCCATGACGACAGTGACAGACTGGGCACGAATGTGTCAGAAAGGACGCGAATTCCCGACGGATCTTGCACGGCCAGGTCATTTTCACAGTGTTGCTTCAGGGGGGACAAATGCGTCGCCAGAATTGATGTAGCACTACAGGTGAACAGTTTGGAAGAATACGTTCGCTAGATAAATAGTTTGACGAGTCAGTTGAGACAGGCACAAATGTTGTTCGCAAGAAGTTGCAGATGTCGGTAGGTGTGTTCAAATTGGGTACCACTGATGTGGACCAGAATCCGAAAAAAGGAACACGGTAGACACCTGATTCAGTGAGTAACCACAATCCTTTTTTGCCTTTTTTTTTGCGGACGGCATACCAAAACAATGGGCTATTTCGCCGAATGCCTAAGGCGACGTTTGGCGACCAACCCACAGGACATATTCAGTCAAAGTGAATGTTTTGTATATAATTCTGCCACACCTGTGGATGTTTCGGTCATCCTTTTTTTTTTTAATTTTTTTTTTAAACAATAAAGTCATTGGGACGAGTTTTACCAGGTTTCTTGTATATTATTAGAAACAAATTTGACATAAGCATTTTGTTATTATTATTATTATGTTGCGAATATAATAATAATAATAATAATAATAATAATAATAATAATAATAATAATAATAATAATAAATATAACTTATATTTAATACATTTACCCTAGCACACTTACCTTGGTACACTTACCCCTAGCTCACTTAGCCCAATACACTTATGTCTAATACATTTACCCTAGCACACTTACCTTGGTACACTTACCCCTAGCTCACTTAGCTAGCTGACTTATATCTAATTCATTTAGCCCGGCATGCTTATCTCGGTACACTTACCCCCACACTGACCTCTAGTAGACTGACCACCTGTATAACCCCACCTCCACACACTGATGGGTGCCCGCAGAAAATTTTCTAGGGGGGGGGGGGCAAATTTTTTTAGTAATGTTTTAATGTAGTTTCAATTTACTGTAGCGTATTTGCACGGTGAACGAACGGACAGGACACTGTAGTAATGAAGGGCATACTGTAGTAACACATTTTTTATTAACACAATATATGTATATAACAAAAAATATTACAACATAAATTTAAAATTAAATTTATTCTTTAAACAAGAACTGGAGTCGTCTGTTATCGCTACCAAACATATCTACAATTGTGTCCATAAAGTCCTTTTTGTTGCAGTTCACTTTGTCTCTGTGTACGCTTAACATGCACAATCCAGACAGACGTTCATCTGACATTGTAGATCTAACCATGTTTTTACACGACGTAATGTTCTGAACGATCGCTCCACAGTACATGTTGTTGCTGGTAATGTTAGCAAAACTAGTAAGGCATACCTGACACTTGGATAAAACTTTGTAAAAGGTATCAAGTCGATGAATACTTTTGTATTTTCGCGTTTTCCAAAAATCAAACCAACTCAAGGCTTCAGTGTCAAATTTATCAATGTGGTATATCTGATTAATAGTCGACATTATATCCTTAATCTGTTGACGATTCAGTTTGCACAATTTCGAAGGATGTAGCAACGCTAAGTTAAACTGTGCACTGTTGGCTTCACAAAATCGACTCTCAATTGAGTTAATTAGAGAATCTAAGTATGGAATGTAAACTGTTTGTCTGAAGTACTCTTCAACACTTATGATTCCCGGATTACTTCGATGCTTTTGTCTTTCATACTGTCTTGTGATAATCAGTTCAGTATCCACTTTCTGTGCGAGTTGTACTATTTTCTCAAAAATATTCCTGAAATAGTTATCGGAATCACCTCGGTAAAGTTTTACTACACTAAGCAGGTTTTGAACTTGCAGTTGGACTTCTGGAAGATCAGCTTGAACAGCTTGAAGAGCCTGAGTAACTGGTTCCAGTATGGCAGAGTACTGCGAAATAATACTGAGACAAAATAAAAACGTGCTGGACTTTGATGAGTAATATAACTGATTTGCAGCCTGTCGTGTATTTCCACTTGCATGCAATGAAAATTCTTACAGTTGACAATAAATATCTTCAAATTTACTAGAAAAAATCCGAATACTTTTATACTTGCTTGTCCAACTTGTCTCACACAGAAGAGGAATATTTGGGACAGAGGACCTCTTTTTGGGGCTTTCACGAAAAAATGTAATAATTGCTTTGATAGTACCAATAGTATTTCGTA